CTTCCTTCACTCTCCACACACCATTTGCCCCGAATCGGACTTCTCAACATCCTTGACCATACCCAACCATGAGACGAGCGATTTGAGTTTTCGACGATGCGAAAAAGGGGCCCTAACGATTTATCTACGGAACTTAACGACGGAACTTGAAAGTGTTTATATTGGGATTTGCAATATGGTAACAGGCGAGGATTCTTCTCATTCCTTAGAGGGGACAGAAGAGAGAGTGTAGATGACTTGATACGGAACCGGGGGGCGTCACGAATGGACGAGAAGCCCAAACCCCCTTCAAAAGACACGACCACGACGGAAAGCCCACAGCTAGCTTAGCTCCCTCCCCATCACTTGGCAAGCGGGTGTGTGTGTCTTGTTTTTGTTTATTTGTTTGTATGGAAATGGTAATGATGCTCACATCCATGGTCGGGCAAGCTTTTTGTCACTACTACCACTACTACTGCTACTAGTCTCGCCGAGAGAGCGAGAGAAAGAGAAAGATGGACGAGAATTTTATCACCCTACTTCCCCCCCTTTACGAGTTGGATTCGCAAGCGAAAAGGGCATTTTTGGCATGCTACAGGGAAGCGATGGGCGCTCAGGGTTTGGTCATTTGAGGAGACAGACAACCTCTTGTCTTGCTGTACATCGTTATTATCTTCTGGTTCTTTCCCCCCTTCCTCTCCCTGTTTCCTCTGTTCCTGCACTGCCACGGCGCGTGAAGGGGTCTTGGAGTTTGTCTCGATGATTTTGATACGCTTTACTTATACTGGGGATCTCTCCACACACAACAGGGTCGGCTGTTTGATACTACTACTGCTCGGTGCGCGAGCGCGGTTGTTGAGGGAGCAGAAATTTGGACAGATATCCCTACTAGCCTTTTCTTCCCTCGCTAACGCCTGCTATTTTCTGTAACTTGGTTCGGGGCGGCTTAGATGAATCTTTGGTAGTTTGATATCCCCCTTACAGCCCAGGATTGGGCTTGTGCTTTACTCTACTCTCTCACGTAGCGGCCAAGAATTTTAACTCGAGAATTGTTCAAGATGCGGCCCCTGGCGTGAAATGTCGTGAACGTCACCACTTGGCTTCAACGGGAAAACAGACTGAACCGTGCGTATCTAGGAATTGAAAGAGAAGGGGGTAGGGCCCAAGAGAGACTCAAGCAGCGGTCTCCTCCGTCTCCCCCGTATGTGGTATCGGGTCACACCTGCGGAGCGTCGGGGAGAACGGCCAACGTCGTTGGGCTGAAATGAACCGGTGATCATCAGCCGATAGGACGCTGCTTCCGTGCCTGACGGGTGGCTTGGCCTTGGTGGGAGAGACCTGCCAGGGGCTCACTCCTGACGGGGGCACCTGCAATCGCTGGCGGCTTGGTTCTTCTTCTCCCCTCTGTGCCCGGCCAAACCAAGGAACCGGGGGTTGGTGAACGGAAGCGCCAGTGCTAGGGTTTGAAAGAGACTGTGATGTCGCATCCCGCTTGATGGATCACCCGGGGAAACATGGAGGGAGGGGCGAAAATCTGTATGCTACCTACGAAGTATGCGGCATGTCCCAGGGGTCCTGCTACTGAAGACAAGTTGGTGCAGAACATGATGTGAACGACTTGGCAAAAGGGTGGGATGAGGACGGAGAGGGTCTTCCGCGCCCGCGAAGCTACTTAACGCCGCTGCAAGGGCACAAGTACCCCTCCTCTCCCCCCCTGAAGACTTTACGTCAGGGAGCATAAAGGCCGAAGGGTAGAGTATTACTATGATGTAGGCCGTTATAGTTTCTGATGATGGGTTGTAGTAGCATTGTTGGCATCATAGGCTCAACGTCTGGTGGTGGGGACCCTCTGGTGAAGAGGGTGACTGACAAGCAAACGGGCACATGGCAAACATGGCACCGCATCCTGACCAAGGCGTCTTGACTTACTTTCTTTTCTGCCTTTTTCTGCTTATGGTTTGCTGCCCTTTAAATGCGTCGTCGCCTGCCGGGACGGTTTAGATTTCTGCAGGTGAAGGGTGCTTGTATGTACGATGGCCACCAAGTAAAGAAGGTTGAGCCGGGTATCAAGGGTTTCGGCCGCAGAAGGGGTGGCAGAATTGATGAAGAACGACAAGAAGCACGGGGCAAGACGAGCGGGATTCTGGAAGAGCGCCAGAGTCCGATAGAAGGCGGTTTCGAATCTTGGCTGACTATGGGTTGAATAAGCAGAGCATGTGGCAGCTAAGGTTTGTGAGTGTGTGCCAGGACAGGACGGGTGTGTGCGCGATGGGACCGCGGCTTTTGTGTGGGATGCTTCTATCTTGGGGTACGATTGCCCATTACGTTGAGGTGAGATCGGGTCGGTAGTACATAGTAAGCCAAGGCTGCAGGGCATCAGAGCTGCGCGGTGAAGGGGAAGATGGAGAGCATGGGATAAGGGGGTTCGTCCAGGAAGATATTTGACCAGGCTGACCTTGACGAGGGTGGTGCGTGCTTGTCTTCTAGCGAATGGTGAGGGTGTCGTGCCAAGTAGTTCGGACTCGGATTTTGAATCATTGTTTCGCTGTTTGAGAGGGAGTTTCGTCTTCGATGCGAACTGAGGGATGGTTTAAGACGGCGATGCTATAGTTGGCCTCTCACGTTGCTCCTGTCTTGGATGACATGCCTTGACAGCTCAAGGGCTGAACCTTCAGAGTGTTTGCTGTAAAGTTGCAAACATGAACATAAAGGTCGAAGGAATGCGGCAGGATGCCGGCTGAAGCGGAGCAACAGAGTATAATCAACATGATTAGACGACTACTGACTTGCGCCTGGATCAAAGGCCGACCCATCGCAGGGCAAACGGCATCGGCGAGGCGGCGAGGCGGCGGCGCGCCGGGCGGCATGCCACGATTGCGGTTTAGCTTCCGCGGCCGAACGTGGTTCGTCGGCTGCGCAGTGCCAAAAATGGATGGCATGTAGTTGTGTATACTTGGTTGTTGCGTGTTCACCAAGGTTTCTGCGCAGTAGTTAAGCACCGCGCGCTAGAACTTAGACAGGCGGGGGCAACCAGGCGATCCATCGCTGTCGTACGAGTAGACGGTGCAGATCGTCAGATTTTTGATGTCCCGAGGTTGTAGTTGGAAGATCCGACAGGGAAGTCGTGTTGTTGAAAGTTGTGCGGTTGCTGGTGCGAGGTAGCATCGTTTCCCCGTGTAAGTGGCGGGTAGTCTGGATATCCGGGGGTTCTTTGGGGGAAACAATGTGGAGTTCTCTGTTGGGAACGGTTCATGTTGCGAGCGGCGAGGCGAAAGAGCCCATGGTAGGGGGGTTTGGGGGGTGCGCGGTGTGGGAGGTTGGTTTGAGGGATGGGCTGGTGGAGGCTTGATATTATAGCTGTCGGGGCCGTGATATCGACTGGGAGCGGGATGCAATGTCGAAGGATGGCGGTTGATGGCTGGTGGTCGATGGCCAAGGGTTCAGGGCCCGGGCCGGTTCGTTGATGCGAGCCTGTCTGTCGATCTCTGGGGGGATTTGTCAGACTGGAATAAGTCAAGTAGTCTTTTCTGGAAGAAGGCTGTTTCTCACGAGTGGCTGATAAACAATGTTGAAGCTGTCACGGTGGTCGAATTTCGTTGGTGTGTAAAAGCAAGGTAAGCAGCAGTAGAGGTGGGATCCCGCTCTAGGAAGGTGTGGCCTAGGTACCTTCCCTTGCAACATGAAATGTTGAGGAAGTTTCATAGCCCACCCTATAAGAGGGTCCACAGTAGATAAATCTAGTAAGAGCACTTCGGCCGGTGCTTCGTCCAGTAAGAAGATCGCAGTACGTACCCAGGGGGCCCGGAATAACTGTCTGCGCCGAACCCGACTGTAGCCGCCCGCGTACGAGCGAAAGCATCTGGGCCAGACGTACATACCATTGTGGCTCTCAGCATCGTGTTGACGATGGCTTCGTTGCCAGCATTCTCTTGCAACATGAAATTCGCACTGTTATGAGCTGTGGAAACACTGCCAGAAGCACAGTGCCGATTGACAGACGCGCATGGCAGGCAGGACGGATCCAACGGGTTCTGCTGAGCCGCTGCTGCTCGCGCGCATCTTCTCGAGACACAAACTCTCAACTTCTGAAGTTAAACAGTGCGACATGGACTCGGTCTTACGCTCCGCGTGCTCAACACCAGATGCACCGTTGCATGGCTCCGGACGGCGGGATCGGTCACCGGTGTGGCAAGGAGGTCCCGAACGGCGGCGCCGGTCTCCTGCCGGTGATGGATCGGGCATAGCGTTCCCCCCACCGTCTCCGCCCTCGGTCCCTGAACAGGCTTAGCGCTACGTATGGGGGCGGAGGGTGAAGGTGGTTCAGCTTGTTCAGCAGCTCCAGCAATAGCAGCGGCAGGCTAGCACAGCGGGCAGCGGACGGCGCTGATAGAAGGAAAGATGCTGCTGCTGCAGGACGGGAATACGGGAATGGGCGGGAGAAGTTGCGTTGGCTGCGGCACAGCGGACTCCCGTCGCTTTCTGAGTGCCAGTGAACATGGGGTGACAGACAGCCGCCATCCACTCACTCGTTTTAATCTCGTTGGCTCGCCGCCCTTTTATGCTCTTTCCCTCATTCCTGCTGTCCTGCATGTCTTCAGAGCGGTAAGAACGATCCAAAAAAACAACCATTACGACGACTGCCGGCGTGAACGACTCGACGCTTGTACCCGTACCCGTGCTGCCCGCCTGTGATTTTCGACTCGAGCAAGACTTCCGCGACGCAGAGCAAGACTTGGCAGACGCTTAGCCAGCTGTGCGAAAAAGGACCCCCGCGTGCCAGTTCCAAAATTGGAGCGAGCGTAAGCAGAGCCGCCCAACGTATTTACTGGCCACCTCGTTTTTGGGGAGTAGCCGCTTCTCTCTCAACTCCAGACAACAAAGGCGCTTCGAAATCAATCGACTTGAGCTCAACGGCCGCTTGGACATCAGACGGTACGGGTCGCATCCACGAACGCCTACCCATCGCTAGCATCGATTCAATCTCTCCAACCATTTACCTAACCGGACGGACGCCTGCCGAAATGACGTCCGTATCCTCCAGAGGGACGCCTCACTCGCCCCTCGACATCGAGACCGCCGCCGACGCGGACGACACATGGCAACACCTCGACATGAATTCGTACGCGTCCTCGGTCGGCATCGTTCACAGCCCGGCCAGCGGTAGTCTCAATGGCTACGCCGTCGTGGGCCATTTCGCCGGCTCGGACCATGCGGGTCTGTCTCCGCTAAACCTCGATCAACTTGACCAAGCCGCCTACTCCGCCCCGGGATTCCCTGATCAGACGGAGGCCTTCGCTCCCGCTCCGTCGGCGGATGGTCAATTTGTTGCCGGCGGGCAGAATCCCGACATTCTGACGCCTCAACAGTATCTCTTTTCACAGCAGGATCTGAACGGTTAGTATCATCCAGTACCGTGTTTGGTGACTTGACCAGTTGAACTGACCATCTATTCACCAGAGATGACATCGTCCATCATCAACTCACTTCAGAGCAACACTGTACCTCTTACAGGCTTGGAGACTTTCAATCAACAGCAAGATATCGATCTCGAGCTGGACTTTTCACAGTCCTTTCAGCCCAATGCCAACCCGGCCCCTTGGAACCCTGCGAATCTCAAAGTCGACAATGGCAGCTCTATGTTCGTCACGGATGACCTCTCGTCGTCACAGGGCTCTGCCTTTGCCAGCCCAAATCATTCAAGCCCGACCTCGCCTGACATCAAGCCAGAAGGCGACAAGTCTTCGTCATCGAGCCCTATCCGCAAAGTTATAACCGGCAAGGTCGAGAAGAAGAAGACATCGGAGCCGTCTAGCAAGTTTGTCATCATGACGCCCAATTCCATTACCGCACGCGCCGGGCAGGCCAACCTCTACGACTGTTTCGACACCATGCGAACGAATCCCCGCGGCCGCAAGGGACCTCTCGCCGATGCCACAAAGCAGAACGCTCTTCAGGTCCGTCGCCTTGGGGCCTGCTTCTGCTGTCACAGCCGCAAGGTCAAGTGCGACAAGGAGAGGCCTTGCAAGAACTGCAAGAAGCTCGCGGCCCAGGTGCCGCAAGTCATTTGCTGGCAGTTCTCTGACTTTCTGACCGTGTTGTTCCCCGAGTTTACCCGAGCGCACTTTCGCAAGGATCAGATGTCAAGTTTCATGAAGGAGAACGTCCAGCTCGATGGAATGGAGGAGCTTGCACCAAGGGAGTTTGAGCTCTTCTCCGGCCTGACCCCGACGCTCAAAGTCCGGGCCAAATTCTTCACACCCATCACCGACGACGTCCAACAGCACTACCATCTACATGTGGGCAAGGACAGGGTTGATCTGCAGGCAAGAGGAACTGCGCCGATGGTGTTGGAACTAGATTCTGCCGCTCAGAGAGACGCATTGAGGAAGAAGGCCAAGGAATACATTGCTGCCATTTCGTCTGAGCCTGGGTACGCACAACGGGTGACAGAATCGATTCGACATACCGATCTGCCAAAGAGGATTTTGGACGTGGTGCAAAACTATGCCAGCAAGTCTGAGGTAAGTTCTCGATCCCTTGGCCGGAAGAGAATGCTGCTAACATGCTCAGTCAACAATTGTCAAAAAGGCTCTCGCGATATATAGCGCCCACTTCATCATGACGCGACACCTCTGCATCACCAGGCCAAGCGTCATGAGCCTCCAAGACTCCGGTCTTGTACCGCAGGCGGTGCCGTGGGTGACGCCTCGCGTGGTGAACAGACAGATCAAGGCCGTTATTGACGATCTGCTGCTGCGCGACATGCAACAACTTTTCGAAAACTTCTCCAAATCCCTCAAGCCCAAATCACGACGAGAGTGGGCGCCGTGCACCGCTGCTTTCCTGGTTCTCTGCCTGTTCATGGAGTCTGTTGAAACGGCAGCCGACACCTTCGTGGTTGCGCTCAACGAGATCAGTCTGCGCAACCACACGACGCCAGAATACAAGCGAGAGGATGCTCTCAATATCAACAAGGAAGTCGAGAACATGCCGTTCAAGCAGTTTGCGTACCAGTTTCATCAGATCTACCAGACGCACAGCCGGGATGCGTCGACCAAACCATTCAACCCGTTGGTGGACGATTCATGGCTTCAGCAGGGCGAAATGGACGCCCCCGCCATGGAGATGGTCATGCGTCTCAGGGAATTTTTCTCGGGCGAAAATTGTAAGTTGTTCTTCCTGAGCCATCATCGTTCGCGCGTGGATTGCGATACTGACCATGATAACAGACATCGAGCTCGACTTCTTGACGATGGACCCGATCCTGCCCAACGGCAACGGCGAAGCACACCCTTTCCCCCGCGACGTATCCGTGAACTACACCGGCCGCATGGTAGCCAAGTTCCTCTTGTCATTCTTGGACGAGAAGTACATCTTTGGCGAGAGCACTTTCTAGTCCATGATCGACCAAAGTCTGGGAAGGAGGAACCCTGGGTGGCGGATTTGGAAGGATTTACGAATTTATGATCAAATACCCTTCTTATTTAAGTGTCGGGCGGTATAGATGGACACCGCTCATAACATTGAATAATTAAAAAGCATGATACCAAATGCGCCATAGACGGAGACTAGACGAAGGTCTCGTGAAAGCATGTCTGTCCGATTTTAGTCCTGATGCCACACTATCTCTATGGCTTCAGGGTGGAGCGGACCGGTTGTCTAGACCTTGGGTTGTTCTCCCACTCGAACGATAAAAAAAGTAGTTAACACTCCCGCGTATTGAAACTGCGAAGTGTAGGCATATCGTGGGGTTTTGGTCGTAGGACCAGACTGTTCTCTGCATTTTCTCGTGCGGTTCAGGTGCGCCAGCACTTGCTGGCTACCAAACGGCGGGCCAAACGTCGCCGCTTCTCAAAGTGCCGGACCAGGTTGTCTTGCGATGTGGCAGAGCAATATCTGGTAGCCAGTCAGAGGGCTCAAAAAAAGACCATGCATAAGGTCGCATGAGACCCTGTTGATTGGCGGTCGACGCGCGTTGAGGTGTTGTTGGAAAGACGAAAAGCGAAGAAACGGCGGGAGGGGATCTGTCTAAAATAGTCGCGAGAGAAAAAATCTCCTCGGTGGGCAACCGGCTAAAACTATGGGGCCATCGGCCAATGATACGCCAGCTGTCGAGTCGACTGCCAGGCAGAAGAAGGCAGCTCCGGGTTAGTAAGCAAGCGGACGACCTGCCTTATCGTCCGCAATCCGCGACGCACATGTTTTGTTTTCCTCTCTTCTTCACACTTTTTGCACCAATAATCAACCGAACCCGACTTGTTATTCGACTTGTGCTCGGTCAGTTTGAGTGCCAGACTAAACCTGGGCTGTGCCTCCTTTTCCATTTTTCTGGTGCTCTCGATCAATCATGGTCGAGGATATCACCGAGAAAGAGCTGCGGGGGAGTGATTTCCAACAGATTTCCATGATTTTCGGAATTGCGATTTTTTGCACCGCCATCCTCGCCTATTCGCCTAAGCCAAAATTGCTGACTTTCGCTCGCCTCCGTCCTGCGCATTTGCGTGTTTCAAATGTCTCTTCCCCTGTCTTCGCACAGCAAAAACAAAAGGCAACCAAAAATTCGGTGGTTGATTTTTGGCCTCGATTCCTAAGGCCATCCTCATTGGTTCATAATGTCTTTCGATTCAAAGTCGGTGTCGGGGTGACTGGCCTCACTGCCTTAGTGGGCCAAGACGCGCCCGAGGCATCAATCAGTCATCCGGGCAGTGCACTGTGCCTCTGCTAGTTGGAATTCTGGGCCTTCTTGACAGGTTTGTCCGTTTCTTCGTCGGTGTCATCTTGTTTTTCCCTGTTCATTGAGCAAGATCGTGCCCATCCTCGCCGCAACGTCTTTGTCGCAATATGAAGCTCTCACCGAACGTCGGCTTCATCATCCACAGCCACATTCGGCTCCAGGGCTAATCTCATAGCGCTGGATGCCTTGACATTCACGGTGCAAGGCGTACACATGATGAGGCCCGTGACGTTTTCCCTCCCCTTACCGTCTCTTCTCATTCCTCGGGCTGCTTTCGTTTCATGTCTACCTTCTCTTTTTTCGCGTCTGTCTTTAGTGTCATGAAGCTAGAGGGCGGTGCCTGAATAAAAATGGGGCCTGCCTTCTGAACCTCGCCATATGACCTAGGCAGCCAAACTAAGCCAGCCTCCCCCACGTCTGCAAACAGCAATTCTAGATACTCTCTGTCAAAGCAAATTTCCCGCGAGCCTTACACACTGCCCTGCAACAACCCATCTGAGTCACTTGATGCTAGATTTCGATGTGCCTTACTGGGGCTGGGGCCGGTAGCCGAAGTCGTCCATGGTGGTTCTTTGTACATCGAAGGCCGCCCCAGTCGTGACTGGCTCCACGGACGAATGAGGCATCGTTACTGCCTGGACCGCGCGACATGGGTAGCCAGCGAAATGCGCAACGGCGCAACGACGAGTCTCATACGCCTCCCACATGTAAGGTAATTCCCATTGCGCTTTTTCGCTATCTTGTTATTTTCTGAATGGTAATTCCTAATTGCGCCCCATCTCCTCGGTGTGTGTCGCCTGCCTCTCCCGTGACTCAACCGGGCGGTACCCTTGACATTCGTTTCGTACCTTGTATCTCGAGGCTTGTTTGAGGTCATTTCCAAGTGCCTCAAGTATGAACATTTTGTATATAATGATGCTTCGACGTCTGCCTCAGTCCGAATTCTTCTTCCCTCAGAATAACACAGTCTACACAACCAACGATTTCTCCGTCTTAAAGACATCCACATCTTCTGCCTCATATATAGACAATCATCTCAGGTCTTCACCAACATCTCCAATACCACCATCAACAACAACTTCTTTATCAAGCCACCAACATGTCTGCCTCCACCTACAACACCGCCGCCATGGTCGCCAACAAGGCCAACAACGATGACTTCCCCAACGACCCTAGTAAGTTTACCCCATGATCAACAGCTCTTCTTCCTATGCTAACTCCCTTCAGCCCAGGGCAAGTAAAAATCGGATCTGCCGAAAATTAAAACAACTTCCTACTCCCTCGACCTAATCCAACTATTCAACCATCAAACCAATAAATCAACAAATTTTGCATCAGCGGCGTTACGGACATCCGCAACACACACATACAAGACTGTCATGTTCTACATGGACGTCGTCGGTCTCACGACCGCCTATTGGCCTAAGCACCGGCTGCACCACAAAGCAGCCATCGGTGGGCCTGCCGTTCCAACGGGATGGTGAAAGGCCACCATCCCAGGCAGGCTGGCATTAGTCCCCTGCTTGGGTTTTCCTCAGGGCTTAGAGGGGGTTATCTTTGCAGCACACACATTACACGGGCGTTAGGCGGGAAATATTAGGCAGCTTTCCGCTCATTGGACAATCTCCCATCAGTATGTTTCTTCTTCTGAAAGGGGTGTGCACAACAGCATAGAACGGTTACGATAGGTGGTACGATACAAAATAGGCAAGGGTACCAAATACAAACGAGTAGCTTTGCATCCCCCTCGTGTGCCGCTATCCGCCATGCAGTGTCGACCTTATGGGGCTCGCTTCGCAGGAGTGGTCCTTCGTGAACACCCGTCTTAGCCAATTCCAGACGGCGAACATCCATTTTCGGAAGTTGGAATATGCCGGTGACGATGCTTTGGGCAATGGTTCTTCTGGTTGTGGGAGGGGGCTGAGCGGTGGTGGAAGCGGGAGGGCGGGGATGTCGGGCCATCTGTCACCCGCCGGCCCCCTGGCGGCGTCAATTTGATGGTTGAGTGTGGCGTGAATGTGCAGTTTTGTTTGGGTCTGAGGCATGGGTACATCATAAAGTGAGGTATCGTATCGTTGGCTGTCGACTGAAGGGCGTGGTGCCTCAGGCGGTGTTCGTGGTGTACTTAGTTTCGTATGGAGTACATTCAAGGCAAGATAAACGAAATATTTATACACAAACTCAAGAAATTCTCACTTAATGTAATTTTGGCGAAGGTTAAATTATGAACACGCATGTGACGCCTTTTGGAAGCTGCGGGAAGAATAGTATTGTCGAGATAACGTCGTGAAGGGACTGAGGGATTGGCGGGTGGACGGGTGGACGGGATGTGGGCAGACATTTCATTAGTAATACATGCGCAGCATCTCATACAATCAAAATCTCAAGAAAATCAAGGATTTTGTGAAAGTTGGCAGATGACCAAAAGTTGGAAAACTCTAGAAGTCTCCGTATGCGTGGTCTGCTGTGTGGGGTAGCATGCCACTTTCCTCGGTGGTGGCGAGTGTATCAGCACTGCCATCCGACCACGGCAGGGAATTACAGATTTGGATTAGATACTTTGATTTCACGTGCGAAGAGATCTTTCGAGCTTGAGAGGCTGCAGAAGATCCCAAATGTGGGCTGGTGCCGTGTAAGTCCATTGGGTGTTGCTGCCCAGTTCCCCTGTGCAATATTGTGCGTATGTAGGAGCAAGTCCGACCAGGCAGCCACCCAAACTCACAGTCCGTGATGAGTCACAAGTAGAATTGTCTTCAGATGAGCCAATAGTATAACATGAAGGCAAAGAGGGGCTGGATGGTGTCGAGGTACGCAGCACTGTGCACACCCTTAAGACGAGATGGGGAACGCCTTACCAGAGGAGATGGCTGGCAACGGTTCGGCCCGCTCAAGCATGTTCAAATATATTGGTACTTGTATACAATATGCGATCTGGTTGAGTGAGTCACTTCGGAGATCTTGCCCGGAGCTCCATTCAAGCCACGAGGGTCATCATGGTTAAGGTACCGCACGACTAGGCAGGAGACGAGCGACCGGGCTCCTGGATCCACAGGTCCACATGTTTGACGTTGAATTAAGGTGATCAAAGAAAAGTATCCGATTTGTCGCTATGTTCGCGAGTTCTGTCGCGACAATTCGCCCCAGCATTCGCAAGTTTGCAGACATACAGGTAACAATTGTTCCTGTACACAGCGTCCGCGTCCAGCATAATTGTCGCTGTATTTGTAAAACTTCTTTCTTTGTTTGTCTTGGATTTATTAAGAAAGGTATACATTCTGTCTCCAAGGTAGTAGAGTTTGTTGTGGTTGAAACTGCGACTCGCGATGTGGTCGAATGAACGTGGAACGACCATACGACGGGTGCCATCAAGACTTACCCGCCGCTTCCTGCTTACTCACCACACTGCACTTCCAGCAGCCGGAAGAACTCCTAAAAAACCAGATCAGAATCCTCCATGTTACATAAGGGGCATCGTTACAGGATAGATGGCCTCAGATGCAAAGAAGGTCTCTAGACATCTCCAGCCCCTGTCTCGGTGCTTGCCGTCAAAATCGAGCCCCTTTAACTCATCAGTCTGACTCCTGATTAAACCAATTACAGGAGAATTCGCATTTAGGTCTTCCAGATGATCTACAAGGAACTTCAATAAAGCTTGAGGCCTATCTCTCGCTACGATCGTGCTCGCCATCTTGAATCGACCTTTTCCCTGGAACATGAAGTATAACGACGAGCAACGCTTAGATACCATGAACCGGAATAATCAAACAATGATCGGAATCATAGCCTGTTGGCAGATGGCACAGTGATGGCCTCCAGTATGGTAGTGAGTGCTGTGATACCTCGAGTTTGAAGCCGTCTGTATAAGATGCTCGCCTCTCCTCGTCGCCGTCGGCTGTGTTATCTCTTCTTTATGCTCCTTCTTGCCCCGATCATAGCTTTCTCTAGAGCCCTACACTATCGTATGGAAAGACCGACATCTTCTTACTCACAACACTTCCTGAGCCCCATTCACCACTTCCAGTCCTCAGGAGCGGCAATTCTGCGATCCCAGCGACCGCGACCGCCTTCCAGCGCAGAAATACAGCGCACCGTCTCACTAAAGCTATAAGGACCCACTAGGATCTCACCAGTCGAAGATGAAGTCTTTTTTCGAGCGCATCGCCAAAAATTTTGGTGGTGAGGAACCCCAACCTGAACCCGAGAGCCCACCTCTTGATCCGTGTAAGTAGTCAGCCCCACCCCAGCACTTCGATCGACCAGCGCGACAGCACAACCACCCACCCTTCCATGAAATAATTGCGAAAAATATTTTCTTCGAGAATTCAATTGACCGTCAATAATAACCAACTTTCACCTTAGTTTGGGGTGCTTAATCATTCTTCTGTTGTTGGTGCTCGTCTTTGCATGTTGTAGACGATTTACTGTTGTCTGCTTGTGCAGCGGGAAGGAGGTCGAGGTGTTGGGTCGAATGAAGGCGCGGTATTGTGTCGGATCATGTATCTGAGGTAGAAAAGGACCTCATCGGGCGAAAAACCCGACCGCTGGCCGCTAGCAGATACAGAGAGCTCTTCATAAGTTCCTGCCCAAAACGCAAAGACTTTCGTACCGCAAATACCCCGTTAACTTTATCAGTACCTAGAGGTACAGGGATCCGGAATAACCTCACTACCCAGCCCCTGAGAGATCCCTAAGACGGTCCCTAGAAGCCCCTATCTCGTCGGATTATCTGATAACATATGTACTCGCTAGGGTCCTGACGTACCTGTAATATTCCGGAACCACAGCTACTTCTGAGCGTGCCTAAGCAAGAACTTTTGAAGAGCTCCTCTGTACTGTGTAGACCCAGGAGAAGCCCCATAGGTTATTGGCCCAATCACATGTAATGAAATAAGCCGCCAGTTTCTACCTCGGATTTCGCATTTGCAATCATAATATTGAACCTGATACCTTTGGAAAGTTTTCCTAACATTTATATGAGCTAGAAAAAAACCACTGTCAGCGAGACTGTATTTTCTCTGCCTAAGGTTAACAGGTTGTCTAACCATCCTGGCCCCGCCAGGACGAAGGAAGACACTATGAAAGACGAGGAGAGAAAGTTCAGGGCATTGGTCATGCTTCTCACTGCAACGTCTAAAGAAGCTCTGCATATGCGTGTTGCACCACCTACAACATCATTCCACTGCCCTAGAAGATTCGAGTGCCTACATATTTCATGGATTTTCTGAAAGTAGAGCGGTCATGGAACTATCGCGTTTGTCCGTACTCACCTTCACGAACAAACCTCACAGGCAACTGATCATTTGATCCGGATACATTCTTGCTCCTTCCCGTAAGTCTCATATTTGCGGCTCTGTTATGTTTTCAAACAATACGCAACTGCGGAATACGACGAGCGGACTCTCTATCATGACGTGGCTCAGCACCTGCAGCTCGCAGGCCGGGAATGCGCATGTAGCAGGGGTCGCAAGTCAGCGACAGGGAATCAGTGAATCAACTGCTTGAGTCGACCTGCCGTCTACTCACCTGCTCTCTGTGTCAGGTCTAGCTTCTGCCTAAAAATCCTGGAACAACGGCCTCTTCTGCCTTAAACATCCCGCACGTTTAATCGTTTGCGGTCAAACACCTCGCGGGGGGCAGCATATGTTACGTTCCTCAACCAGCCACGGCACCCAAAATGGTCGAATCAGAGTCCGCCTGTTAGTCCTCATTGGCGTGCCGGCTGGGGCTTGTGTTCTGGTATGACTCCGCGATCTGGAACTTCCATTCACACCAGAGTCTCGCAACTGCGATATTCAGGTGTTAATGGCGTTTTCTGAGGTCAGTTCTTCCACTTGACGGGACTCCCTGTCGCTTTACTTCGGGATATAGACCTCCGCAGATATCCTGCCTAATATCTCTGGATATTTATATTCGGCCTCAGTTCTGCACTTCTTGCCACATCTCAACAGGTTCCAACCAACTCATTCATCCCAATCAAGCATCACCACACCCATTCACACTCTCATCGTCTGCACCTCCAAGAGACCCCCACTACCCGCTGCCTTACACAAACCAACACTTACTACACCACCAAAGAACCCCCCTCTCATCAGGCACGATCACCCGGGAAAACCAACACTCTTGAATAACACTTGCATTTTGCAACCCGCGATATCGCATCCTCAAACGGCGATGATTGCCAAGCCAGAGCATCTCGTCAACACTCCCTGCGGCGGAGAGCCCAACAACCCCGACCCAGCGCCCCTCGACCCTTGTAAGTCACAATTCCACTTCCACTTCCACTATGCGCCACAACCGTTCGCTTCATGCACTGCCCCAAACTGTCACCGATTTTCAAGTTTATCAATTTCAACGTCAAATTTTACAAAGGCTGACCTGATCGCCTAGTCTATGGTGCTCGAAACCTCTAGAATCTGGCGCGATAAGGCGCATTGAATGCTTCGGAACCCGTCGTAGATGACTGGGGGTAGGCTACGCAGCAGAATGGCGTACTACTCAATACCACGATACTTCAAGAGGGTGCGGCTTAAAATAATGAGAGACGGGCGTTGTAGTGTTTCAAAATCGCTATCAACCTACCAATATACCACACTCTTGACTTCATATTTTGTAACTGTGCCTGACTTTCCAAGACTGTGATGTGAGACCTCTTGGCCAGACGACTCACCAATTGCTGCCAGAGCCCGGAAACAGCAAAACTCGACGCTGGAAACTGACTTGAGGCATCTTCGACTAAGGTAGGCACCTCAGCCACCGGCACCCGACACCTTCAAGTTTGTAAACTGGAGGCACGCCGAACTCGATCGCGATTTGACTCTGATGGTTGAGCCGGGGTGGGATGAACGCAGGCAGCCAGGACCGATTTAGGCAGGCACTCCTCTATGAACCCTGCCGATTAGCGCTTGCCTAACGCGCGGACCACTGTGCGACTGGGATAGAGGGTCTAAAGTCCCGCAGGGTCCTCTGTGGACCCCTCCGACTTTAATTGACGACAACCTGCCCAGGGCATTCCGGTCGCGTCGTCGCAACTCAGACGCGTCAAACCCACAGCGCCGCTGCCGCTGCCTGCCCACCATGGCCGTCGTATCTTCATCTCTTACGGAACTGTCCGCCGTATCGTCGCCAGACTCCTTCCGCACCGCGTTCCAGTCGCCCCCAGGTCCTGATGCCATGGACAGCCCGATCGTTCTCGCCGGTCCCAGGTATACTCTGGCGAACCAGCTTCCTCGCGAGCTAAAGGCGCATTGCCAGATTTACCTAGAAGAGCATCTTTGTGCGTTGCCTGGTCGGCCCACTTCCCCGAAGCTCGCTGCTGACGAGTCAACCCAGACAATGGCGCACTTGGGCTCCTCAATAGCCTCCTCACAGCAGGCTCCTCTCGACAAAATGCTGCCAAGAAAGCCGTTTACGTGCCCCCGGTGACGCACCTGGCGCTACTCAATACCCTCATCATCCACCCGAGCCATACCACACGTGCCGCTGGCCCCGATCGGCTCGAAGTCGGCTCCCAGACTCTTGGCTACTTGCGCAACCTCCTCGCAATCGTCGGACCTATCCACGCAGGTTTCAAGGGTGCCTTTCAATTCCACGGAGGAGGCTACGGCCGTCGGAATCGATACCATGACGAGGAGGATGACGAGATCGATGGCGATCAGATAGGCAATAAGATGGCTGGCGAGGACAGCATCTGGCACCGTGCTCAAGACTTCTGGGCCGTCGTGGGATGGGCGTTCAACTGCAGTTGCGTCCACCCCAATCGATGGCGCTACTGGAAGACCTGGCTGGAGTTCATGCTCGATGTCCTTGAAGCTGACCTTAAGGAGCGTAAGCGGATGGACGAAGAAGCAATGGGCTCCTCCCAGGACACGGACTGGACGAACTTGAAGGGGGCTATCCTCGTCATGTACGTCAAGCAAAAGGCCGACTCCAACCGGAGTGGTCTGAAGATGATTTCGCAAGCACTTTTTGCCGATGGCTACACATCGGCCATGAGCAAATTTCCTGAGATTTTCAACAGAGAGACCAAGGGCTTGCCGAGCGAAGACACGAAGCGCATGAGGATGGCCACTCTAGACATTGAGAATGATCAGTTTGGGGACTACTTTGACGACGACCTGGTGGAGTCAGACGACCAGCAGTCTCAATCTGAGGAACCCCCCACTCCACGCACACCATCGAGACGGGCAGGTGCGTTTGTGACTCCGGAGTTGGCTGAGTCTATTCCCTTGCGTCTGCGTCTCATGGATCTGTTATCTGAAGTCTCTGAACGTGTGCCGTATGACTTTCAGTCGCACAGAGACTACGTGGCGGACCTCATCATGCATCTCAAAGCGCAACCTCTGGCATACTTCCAGCAGTTCATCTCGGACATGGGTTCTCACGTTGGTCGTGCCTTCGAGATCGACTTTTTGACGACTGAGCTGGACCACTTGTTGCCGTCGCGATACCAAGACCCCAGGAAGGTCGTGCCTTCGAACGGTGGCATCATCGTCAACGCTGAAGTAATGGAGCACTGCTATCTGCCGCACCATGCGAACACCGTTGACCCAACAGACAATGCACGTCTTGCATTGATACTCGAAAACCTGCTGCACCAGATATCCCCCGAGGAAATAAAAGCTGCCAAGGATAAGCTCCATACGGCTGCTGAGTCGGGCATTGAGGCACGCAAGTGGAAAGCTAGCGGCCGCAAGGTGATGAAGACGAGGAATGGTAAGAAGCAAAAGGACTTGGGCGACAAAGACCGCTATGCAATGGAGATGATGGATCTAGCTGGAGAGCGCATTCTGTTGTACATTGACATCATGGGCTCTTTCTCAGAGGACTCTGATGATGATATGACAGACTGAGGACCGGCATTGTTTTTGAAGTATGATTCGCGGAGAGACTGAGACAAGGGCGTTACATGGAAAGATGAGGCTGAAAGATACCCATTTAAATCTATTTCATTATTTGTTCATACTACCTGCATCCTGTGCTGTGATTGTCTTTCATTGAGACCGTTGAATGTTGAACCTTGATCCTTGGCCCAAGTCCACTGAGCCCAATGCGGTAGGTGGGGTAGCTGATCGCGAAAATTCCCCATCGACCCCTCCAAGCTCCGGCTAACTTCGTACGTATTCAATATTCAACTTTACAACCCAAAGCCTCTAAAATGCCGGTAAGTACGCTCACATCTCAAATTTGAGCGATGCTGAATGAGCGTCATGTCATAGTTAGTCATCGTTTCCGGCCTCCCGACGTCGGGAAAAACCCACCGCGCAAAGCAGCTCCAAGCGCACCTCGCGAAGCGCATCGCGGCCGCCGCAGCGGACTCTTCGTCCTCGAGCAAGCAGCCGCCGTACAGACTCCACTACATCTCCGACTCGACGCTCTCCATCTCGCGAGACGTGTACGACCTCGACCCGGACAAAGTGCGCGCGCACACGCGCTCGGCCAACGCCTCGGAGAAGGACGCCCGCGCGGCGGTCTACGGCGCCGTCAAGCGCGTGCTCACGGACCGCGACATTGTGATCCTGGACGGGCTGAACTACATCAAGGGATGGCGGTACCAGCTGCACTGCGAATCAAAGGCTGTGAGGACGCCGAGCGTGGTGTTGCAGATCGGGTGTGGGGTCGACAGGGCGAGGGGGATTAACGAGGAGAGGCTGAGGAGGAGGGAGGAAGCTGCGGCGACATCAACAACGGCTGCAACAGGTTCGGAGGTGGAAGGCAAGGCGGAAGGCGACGGTGTGAGGGGAGAGAGCGAGGAGGTGGAGGAGCAGCCCTACGACAGGGAGAACTGGGAGAACCTCGTCTTCCGCTACGAGGAGCCGAACCCGATGACGAGGTGGGACAGCCCGCTGTTCACGCTCATCTGGGACGACGACGAGACACAGGCGGGCAAGGTGTTTGACGACATCTGGGACGCAATCGCCGGGACGGGGAGGAAGGTGGTGAAGCCGAACCAGGCGACCGTCCAGCGCAGCCGTGACGCGGGAGGGGATTACCTGTACGTGCTCGACCGCGAGACGCAGGACGTGGTGAAGAAGATCCTGGAGGGGCAGGGGGACGAGGAGGGCGGCGAGGTGAAGATCCCCCGCGGCGGCGGCGGCGGCAGCGCAGGCGAGGATCTGGTTGTGCAGCTTCCGGGGCGCAAGGTCGGGCTGCCGCAGCTGCAGAGGCTGAGGAGGGCTTTTGTCGGGTTGAATCGTGGGGGTATCGGGCTTGAGGGCGTCGGGAACTTTAGCTCGGACAGGATGAGGGAGAGTTTTGTCGGGTATCTCAATGATAGCTTCGAGAAGGAGGGCTGATGACGGCTGTCGTCGTCGCCGTGAGAGAGAGACTAAAGAATTGATACCCCTGAATGGTTTACATCATGATTTCGGTTGCTTCCGAGTTTTGATGCGTATCAGGGTATGATGATGCTTCCGAAGCTACAGATTCGGCTCACGGAATCACGAGGGACGCCAAGAATCAGCCGGATGCTCTCTGTTTCTCAGCCAGAGTAGTTTTGAGCAGACCACAGAGTGTCTGGTCAAAGTTTCACACATCCATAGATACGCCTGACTTTTACTTCGGAAGCTGGCCCTAAACCGCCAAGGCCTGGGCGACGAGTCATAATGAGGCAGAAGGTGAGAAATCGCCGAGGGCGGCAAACAATGTATCTGCAAACCAGTTTGCAGACGCTGTCATCAGCTTCTGTGTTCTACGTGATCGATAGCTGGGCTTTGAGGCATTTTGTCCAGCACAACGTACAACAACAGCGGTGCGGCAATCAATATGCAGACGGTTCCTGACGTGTTGCTGGGTGCCTTCAAGGATGAGATGTCCCAATAACAATTACGAATGCCACAGCGACAACACCTCGGGGAAACAGGATCTCTAAGTCGGTTATGGCAGTCCCAAGGCTGGATCAGGAGATTTCTGCGTCACCCGTCCCGTGATTGGCGCAGATGGGACACGTCTTGGGAAGCGTGCAGCTTGTTGGTACGGCGTAGCGTATTTAATGAGAAGGCCAAGGCGCTTAAACCTCCCAGAGGGGTCTGGAGCAGGTTGGCGTGTTATTTCCTACCTACTTGCAAGCTGCTGATAGACTTTCGGAACGTGAAAGTGAAGTAAGTTGTGCTGCCAGCATCGCCAAGAGCCTCATCGCAGCTAGATCTCACTTTGTGGTGTGCTGTCAGTTGCCCTGAGGGGCGCAAACATCCGCTCCGCTGCCCGAAATAGTGTCAGGCCTCGTTTTGTTCACGAAAGTGAGGCGGCAAAGGTGTTTTACAGATTGCGAGAGCGGGCGTTATCAAGTCTGCCCACGTGCTGCATTTCTGCCGCGTTGGAGAGAGCGAAACCGTCCACGCCGCCCCTTGATTAGGAGGCGCCTGGGAACGCAGAAGGTGCCGGGAGATCGCGCAGCTGAGGGAATAGGAGATTTACCGGATGGGGCCGACTTGGCGATTGCACGTCTCTGAGAGAGTTTCGCCGAGCCCTGAATAGAAACTGGACAGGTAATGACAGGGTCGTGGCATCGGGTGAAAGCTTGTCGGAGGCCAAGACATGATGTGAGCTGGGGGCAAGTCGTGGCTCAAAACGACACGGGGGCTAATAAAAACCAGCCCAGACTAGAAGAAAGAAAGGAGGTCCCGCGGCTCTGGGAGAGGAAAGGCGCCGGCGCGACGTAGCATACCAGGCTGGCGGTGATACCGGACTGGACAAAATTGAAACTGCCAGCTTGGGCTATTGGCAAGCAGCCTGGATCGACGTTGGCATCAGTTCGAGACGAAGCATGTGGCAACATCTGGTCAGTGCCAGCAAATGTCGCGTGTCGGCTCGGGGGTTTGAGATGAGACTTTGCCGGCGTGCGTCACGTTAATCGGGGCTGGCTTGAGTCGCCTCACCTTGAGCTGACAGGCAGACTGACAGGAGCCAAGTCATGTACTCTCGCTACGAGGCTCGATGCGGGGGAATTGTGCTTGACTAGCATCAGGAAGAGGATTGGGTTGAAGAGGGCGACGGACCGGAGCGAGCTGCAGACCGTGGAAAGCAAATTAGTGCGACAGGAGTCTATTAGCGAAAAGTCTCCGTATGGACTGATTGTGATTGAGTGTGGTGTGGTGTTTCTGTCTCTCTGCCGAAGGTGTCAATGCTGATGGCGTAGATGGGCAAAGTGCGCATTCGAGGGGTCGGAGATGCAGTTCGTCTGGAGAAGGAAAGTGGCATTTGCAGTCAGGTGGGAGGAGTGTTGGACGGATGCACATGGACGCTGCAGCCAAACGGAAGGCGGACGGAAAGAAATGGAACGATGAAGGGAAGGAAATCGCCAAGAGTTGGGCCGGCCACGAGCGATAAGCTTTGCCAAGAGGGACAGAGCCAAGACGGGCAGGTGTGGAAAGACTGGGACTCGGGTTGGGGAAGCTGCCTGGCCGTTCTTTCTTTCATCACTTGGACCAGCACAACCTGGAGAAGGAGGAGCACAAGCCACGTCCTTTCTTCCCCTCGTCCTTTCACAGGAAAAAAACTGAGAGGCAGGAACAGCAACTGAGGCCAGACCACCACCCACCACCACCCACCACCACCTCACAATCACCTGCAATCTATTGCGGGGTTGATGCGGCCCATAAGTTCGGAGATTGGTGATTGGCTCCAGCTCGATTTATCCAGAGAGCGAACAGGTTTTGGGCCGTCCATCACTTTCCTCTCTTCGACCCGAATTCCCGACATGCCTTGTCCGCCATCTGCAATTTCTCAGAAGCACCTTCTCAAGATGCAGACGATTTCCTCAACTCCCCTGCGTCGATGAATATCTGCCGTTGGCCCCGGCTTCAAGCTCCTCCCTCATCCGGACATGGACAGTCCCAGTTTCCCGAGAAGGTGATGCTCGCACCGGAAACCACACCTCGTTCAGCAAGAGTGCCCTTGTTAGTGGTGGACTCTCCCCTGGAGCAGTAGCCCGTTAGGTATGTTGGCCCGCGCGGCATCCACTGCATTTTGTCCCCATACTTCGCCGAAAGCCCGTCATGATTGGTGGACAGACGAACGGATGCACTCCAGCCTGGGAACGGGGGTGGACCCAGAGTCGAACACTGTGCTGCACACCCCCGACACAGTGTGCAAACCCTCGGCGGCTGGTCATTCATCATTTCCCCTTCCAGCCCAGTGGCCGCCGAAGCGAAGGCAGCGGCAGGCTTGTTGGCGACCAACTGCACACTACTCGCTACGGCCGCTCGATACAGCGTCCATCTTTTGCCGGTTCAGACGGTCATTGTCGCCCGCTGACCGTCTAATTGCTTACCCACACACCAGTTCAGTGAGGTGAGTTGGACTTTAGATGTCTTGACCGATGGAAATGCTGACTGGACGGGCCAGGTCAGGCACCACCACCACTGTCGAGTTAGAGTTGCAAAGCCCCAGTGACAGCGATCGGGTTGATGTCACCGGCACTCATCTTCTGTGCTTCTCCCGGACGCAAGCTCTCGTTCTCGAGACCTTGTCCTACACCACCTCATCATGCCCTGAGGTAATCGACGTCGGGAGGGGAACTCGAGGGGACGCCGACAACGACAAAGAAAAGAGTCGTAGTTTTCCTGCTCTCCCGCGTTTCAAGAGCCAAGACAAAACGCTCCGAACCCAAGTGGACGGCTGGTAGCCATCTGAATTCTGTACTTGATCAGCACGGCTGCCCGTCTCCGTTTCAGGGTACTTCCCTCGAGGCGGGGAGGCTGAGCAGCCACTGCCGTGCAGTCCTGCGCGCAGTATTTCGCAACAGGCACACGCAAGACATGCTTTTCCAACCACTAACGGCCGGGGGGGGGGGGGGGGGTTGCCATGCAGCCAGCCCAGTCTAGTGTCGGGCGTACAGTGTCTCAGCTGTTCT